ACCAAGCTATTCGAGCAGCTAGCTGTCCCAATCTCCCCTAAGAAAACGGAGGGGCCAGACACGATTATCACATTCCTGGGTATTCAATTAGACTCAACCACAATGCAAGCAAGCCTGCCACACGACGAGATAGAGAACATTCTTACCTACATCAACCACTACCTTCAGCTCGGTACTTGCAACCGCAAAGAACTACAGTCCCTGCTGGGTTCACTAAATTTTGCCATGCGTATCATACCTCAAGGCCGCTCCTTCATTTCTTACTACACGACACACACAGGCAGACTTACGCATGTGGAAGGAATTTTTAACCACTTGGAATGGTAAAAGTATGTTCCTGCCTCAATTGACTGACTCATCACCAACCATTTGGTCAGATGCGGCATCTACAACAGGTTTTGCAGCAATTTTTGGGAACAAATGGCTTTGGGGCAGCTGGTCTACAGCAGTTCAGGATTTGAAAGGTTTTTCCACTACCTCAGCTCTCTTTGAGATCTATCCCATCGTGGCGGCTGCCGTATAATGGGGTCATTAATGGGCAAACATGCCAGTACGTTGCTACTCAGATAACCAGGCAACCTGTCACATCATCAACAAAGGTCGTTCCAAATCCCTTACGATCATGAGATTTCTGAGGAAACTCACTTGGTTGGCGGCCTGTCATAATTTCTTCCTGTATTGTTTCCATGTTCCAGGTATATGTAATACAGCTGCTGACAGTTTGTCTCATTTTAAATTTCATGCATTTCATCAAGCACTCCCGTCAGCTGCGCTCACAGCCACCACTACTCCAACATTTCAACAACTAATACTGGACTAGACACCATCATGCGTCATAGCAGGGCACTGTCCCAATTGACACTGTCAAAAAATACTCACAAAACATACAACAGGGCTTTTACATTATTCAAAAGATTCCTTTCAGAACATAACATCATGCAACCTTTTGTCATGACATCTTTTTGGGGTTTTGCTTCTTTTTGCCACCTTAAACTTAAAATGTCATACAACACCATCAAACTTTATCTCACAGGCATTCAACACCATATGCTAATCTTACAACCAAACAACACAAGTTTCATGGCCAGATTAGGACTATCCTCAGAGGCATTCAGAGATCTGAACCCACACGTAGATCACAGAGGCTACCCATAGACAACCATATCTTCAAAGATATGCTTGATTTAAAACCTTTTGACACCAACACAAATCCTGTCATCAAAGCAGCAATCTACATAGCTTTCTATGGATTCCTAAGACCTAGAGAATTGACTACAACCAACGTGACACAATTTACTCCTATTTTCCTCTATTCCCACTTAACAAAACACATGGATCATTACATCCTGACTCCACCTCACTCCAAAAGCAGTCAGCATGCACCAGTAAAAATAACATACTATCCCACGCACAACAGGTGGTGCCCCGTCAAGATTATTAATGCATACATACAGCATCATAATTTACTACCATCACAACCATTATTCCTATTACAAAGTTCGGTACTCACCACTACAACCTTCATGACCTACGTCAGGTCTTTACTCACTCAACTGGGCCTCAACGCAGCTAACTACTCAGGGCACTCCTTCCGCATAGGGGCGACATCCACAGCCTCCAGTGTCAACATTCCAGTTCATGTTATAAAAACACTGGGGAGCTGTAAATCATCCGCTTGCTCACGGTACATACTGAACCCACTACAAGAATTAAGGGATAACAAAAAGAAATAGAGAGAGTACCTAATGGAACAAAGGAAAGAAAAGCTATCACTATGTGAAAAGTGTGCAAATAATGCACAATATAGTCACAGATGAAGTCTAAATAAAATAAAAATAACAAAAAGCTTTATTGGATATACGTGTTAAAAAATTGTATAGATATAAAGAATAGAACATGAATGAAAAAATTAAAAACAACCCAAATGGTACCCAAGATTGTGAAATAGTTGATGTCTAAAATCAGTATAACATACTGCACACGTCTGTGCAGGGTGAAGAAAAAAGGGGGCGTAAGGGGGGGGGGGCAAATAAGAGAACTAATATGAGTACAGTAACCTGTACTAGTTGAATGGTATGCTAATAAAACCAGTATGATTACTAAATGGACAGCAAATAGACTGGCTGTCAAAATAAGCTGAACTTGGTGCAGGGTAACTGAAAATAATAAAGTGCCTGATAGCAGCCTATAATACTGCCTAAAGAATATATTAAATAGAAAGTGGTAATAAATATATATACAGATGTAGCTGACAATGAAAGTACTGGCTGGTATAGAACTGCTAGTGAAATATAAAGCACAACAAAAGATGAGAGATGAGAGGCAAAGAAAGGAAAGTAATCCTAAAACTAAAAAGCCCATCCGTGTGCCTTCGAGGGCATCAGGAACTAACGCCCACTAAAAATCGCTTAATAAAGACATCAGACAGAGAGGAGATACAGAATAATGTGAAAGGGTAGTAGATAGATGGCGAAAAATTGCGCCAGATGTCCCCTGACGCGCGCGTTTCGCCTTTACAACGTTCCGTTTATTTGTTATCCGATATACATTTTTCTCAGCCAGTGTTACATTTGTTACTACTGGCATTCGATATCCTTGTAGCAATCTTACCAGCCCGGTAGCTTATTCTATCATTATTCTATTCACCAGTTAGCTATTTATCAATTGAAGTTATTTCTTCACCCTGCACAGACGTGTGCAGTATGTTATACTGATTTTAGACATCAACTATTTCACAATATTGTGTACCATTTGGGTTGTTTTTAATTTTTTCATTCATGTTCTATTCTTTATATTTATACAATTTTTTAACACGTATATCCAATAAAGCTTTTTGTTATTTTTATTTTATTTAGACTTCATCTGTGACTATATTGTGCATTATTTGCACACTTTACACATAGTGATAGCTTTTCTTTCCTTTGTTCCATTAGGTACTCTCTCTATTTCTTTTTGTTATGTACTTTCACTAGGGGTTACCCCCCTTCTTCAGAGTGTACCTTGGCTGTATTCTAATAGTTTTCAAGAATTAAGGGATGCTTTCAAAAACATGTCTGGTTGATATATGTATCTGTATTGGTTGTCTGTAATAAATTTGATTACTTAATTTTTTCCCTCTTCTTTCTCAGGCCTACATCATCGTCGGTTCCAGCACACCACAACCGACTTGCTCTTTTTACTATCCTACATTTCATTATGGTATTTTACTCTGTACTATCATGAGCACCTAACACAAGTATTAAGGCAATTTGGCCTGTATTTGTGGGAGGTGCTTGGTATCCACTCCTAGCCTACTTAAGGCACACACCTTACCTTGCTCCTTACCGTTCGAGGTCAGCGTTGAATGACCCTCCCACCACACCACATTTTAACATTATTTTTCTTTCTATTTCTTTTTCCTTGGTAAGCCCTCTTCTTTCTGAGGCCTACCTCATCGTCGGTTCCGGCACACCACAACTGACTTGCTCTTTTTACTATCCTACATTTCATTATGGTATTTTACACTGTACTATCATGAGCACTTAACACAAATATATATATATATATATATATATATTTTTTTTTTTTCCCAAAGATAGCACTCCAGGGACTTATAAAAATTAACTCTTATTTACCTTTGCTAAAACATCTAAAGTGTCAACGTTTCAGCCTGATCCCCTCAAGCTTTCGTCAGGACAGCCACAACTCTCGAACATCAACATGTGCGGGATCCAAGCTTTATTCCAAAGGAGAAACCCGGGGGCAGGAAGCAGTAACAGGTCTTTGCATGACAAACCACAGATGTAGAGGGAACCACGACTGATTCCTCAACAGTGGTACGATCAAGAGTATCTACACTCTCAGGAGCTTGGTTTGGTGGAAAGTACTATGTGTCATGGAAAAAGGCAGCAATGTATATGCCCCCATGACCAGGAGCCAGATGAGAACACCATAAGTGGTTTGGCCTGGACATGAAGAGGTCTAGATGGAGCGGACCCCAGAGCAAGTCCAACACGCAAAACACTGGGAATGAAGCTGTCAATCGTTGGTGTCCCACCAGTGCACTGAAAAATTCAGGAGAAAGTCTGGAGGGGAGCCGAAATCGCCTCATTGTTCCAGGTCCCCATGTGTCAAAACCACCAATGAAGTTCCAGGTGTGCTTTGTCTGAAAGGAGCAAAACCAGGCTACAGGAAGCTGAAGTCCTGAGATAGCGAGCCGTTGGGCATAGTAGGGCCCAATAATGCATGGGTCCCAGGAAGATGTCTCGAATGGAGGATGAGGGCAGACCTATCGTCTTGTCAGATCCCACTAGATGATCCGAGGGCTTCGGATCCTTCCTGATCATGGTCACCTTGGAGAGAGGGATAGGGAGATGGAGCACCGCCTAAGTAAAATCCACGATGAAGCTCAGAAACCGGACCGACCAAAAGTGCACCAGATATGACTTCTCCATGTTGATTATGAACCACAGATCCTGGAGCAGAAGGACCATAAGGAACATTAAGACATCGCAGGACAACGGGGTCCAGTGTCATCAGTAAAATGTCGTCCAGATAGACGATACACTGTATCCCCCAGGCTCTCAGAGCCATCATGACTGGTTTCAACAAAGTGATGAAGAACCATGGGACCAAGCAGAGGCCGAATAGAAGGCAGGTAAAACTGCCGAATGTGGACTAGCCATCAAACCATTGCCTGTCACCGCAATGAATCAGCACAGTGAGAAAATAAGCTTCCCTCAGTTTTAGACATGAGAACCGAACGTCCACTCAGAGCAAATCCCTAGGAGATGAATGCCCTCCACCTTAAAACATTGATAAACGCGTTGAGGGCACGAAGGCTGAAAAATTGAGACAGCCTGTCTGTAATCAGTAAGCCAGGCAAGAAAGGAAACACTCTTACCTAAGAAGTATCAAGCCTGGTGGATGAGGAACCACAGTCCCTGAACAAACCACTGGGGAACATCAGGCAGTACTGGCACCAGGAGGAATAGGAGAAGAAAGACTCAGAAATTGCGCTGTCAACCAGCTCTCCAAGTCATCCAGCTTGCTGTCCAGTGCAGTAAGAGCCGCCTTGCATTTAATGGGAAGGCCACATTGACGTTGCCACACAAGCAGATGGTACGCTGGACCCATTCACGAAGGAGGTGCACATCCACCGGTGTTTCTTCATTCAGAACGTCATCAACCATCGGAAAAATTTGAGTCAGCAGGTTGCTGATATCAAGGAGCTTGTCTTGCTCCAGGCCCTTGTGCGGATCCATCCCAGAACGTGCCAGAAAGTTGCACTCTCTTAAAGCTATTTGGGTGGCTGACAAATGAGACAGTAAATACATTCAAATATAGTAAATCCACCTTGAAATATGAGGTGCCTAGATGCATTGCTGGAGGGAAAAATGACCCTAGTATAATATAGGAACCGAGTGTGAAAATACTTATTGACCAGCTAAGGTTGCACTTACTGGGACTGAGAGAATAAACTAATTCTGAACAAAAAAATGCATGAAATGTAATGTTTTATGTTATGGGACAGTGTCAGTGATATATATCTAAGTAGAACTGTGGAATATGGACCAACATTATTGACATAAATTTACACAACAAATCTATTTCAAAGCTAATGTCACTGGTTCATTGAAAGACCAGCAAACTGTTTTCCATGTAAAGATTTTTGTCCCCATTGTATTCATATTTTTCCAATTGTGTTAGAGCTGTATCAGAATGTACCTAGTCAATTGACACATCGCCGGGTTATTCACGGGTCAAGGTGCGGCGCACATCGCTATTAATTGCGAGGGCATTAGTAACGGCTGTTGCGATGCCCTCGTGAACTTTCCATGCAGGTGTCCGCTTGGACAGTGCCCTGATTGGAGCGCTTGTACGTAAGGGCGGTCTGGAGCGGGGAAAAACGTAATATATAAGGTGCCCTGAGGTGATATTTGGTGCCAAAAGAAAGAAGAAAAAGTTAACTGTAAAGCTTTTTTCCCCTGCCCTCCCTCCCTATAGTTCAATTGTTGTGGTCTTTTATTGGGATTGAGGTCACCTGCCTAATTTAAAAGGGGGGTGGGGTGGACTAGCTGAGTTTCGTTATCATTTTGTTTAAGTTCTGGCTAATAGGGCGGAACTCTGGTGAGTTATGTATTAAATCTCTGGGGGTTTAAAGATGTTTGGTTACAAATTATGTGTTTTAAAGTAAATCAGTTACTTTTGTATAATTTGTAAACTAAATAAAAGACCAAGGCCTTTTCAGCACACATCCTTTTCAGCACAGCAACAGTCTGTGTTTTATTATTATGTTTCTGTGCCTTACTATGTTATGCATTACTTTGTTGTTATTACGTGTCGGTCTGAATTAACCTCTGCTGAGCACAAGTAATGTTAACAGTGCCAGTGTTCCTTTCTTGAAGGTAAAGTGTGATTGAAATAAACTTGTCAAACCTTTTCATAGCATAGCAAAATTACAAAACAAATCAATGTATAATCAATTCATGTCTCAAATCCTAAATGTTTTCACCTAGGAACGAATTAACCATTCAAGACTCCTAATCTCATAACAAACAGGGCAAAGAAGAGGTATATTAGGAGAAATCCCCGTAGAAACCGATGGAATCTTGTTACACCTGGTGCATATCACTTTGCCACCTATTGCTTTGCTACATATTGATAGACAAAAGTATAGATCAGAGAGGAGCTGCTCGATGGAAAAGGCAATTACATTGTAAACAACCCGAATCTTTATGCTATAATCACATTAAACAGGTATTTACATTCCAAAGAAATATCGTAGTTTATATCTTCCTTATAATCTTCCAGTACAGAATTCTCTACACAAAGGACACGGTCACTGCTGAAATGCTCGTCCCTTTGGTAGCAAAATGCCCTTTATAGCAAAAGCAGGTAGATCCCTGGAGTGCCAGCTGTGCGGCACTATAATGAGTGATGGGAGTAGTGGTGCCAGATGTTGCCCTTCCCTGTCTGACACACTCAGCTCAGCATCACCCAGGATAACAGGCAGGACCTGGGGGCGGGAGCAGCTCTGGCTGTCTGGGAGTGTGCAGGGCGGGGTGAGGCTGTGTGCTATGTGCTGCAATTAGCCAGGGGCTGCGGGACCCCCATACACCATGCTCTGCCCTTGACTAAGTGGCTGCATGCGGTGGAGAGGTACCAGGGGGTCCCGCGGATGGAAGGAGCTGCGGGACTCGGGGGGACCCGTATCTGGATGGGGGTGGCAGTAATGATGCTCGTCACACCTTCGGTACTCACTGGGAGAGGCAAGTACTGGGTATGATGGATACAGTGTGACTAATTTATATAGATTGTACATTATACTATATTTACTATAGTATATATCAATAGCAATAAACAGAACTGTTGGCAGCTTTATAACAATGGGAGAGGCAAGTGTTGGGTATATGTACACTATGTGATGTATACAGTGTGATTGACTTCCTATATAGATTATATTATATACACTATAATACCATCAATAGACATACCATTCTATAAACCTTCTATAACTGTTAGCATCTTTACAATACAATGGGAGATACAAGTGACACACAATAGCTTGTTCTTAATTATATTACACTGTCATCAATAGACATCATTAACCATCTACTACACAGATATCTTTATACTAAAGCAAAGATAGACAGAGACAGACATGTATCATATATGATTTTTTTCAACATAAGAAAATACATGTGAGTGTACATATGAAGAAATAAATAATATTTATTTTGGTAAATACAATGTACAGGCAGTACTTTGACTTTGAATAACTTTTATGTTTTGTATCAGGTATTTTATTAAAGCCATATACAGAGAGAATAGTTTTTATATTCTGTTCTCTTTAGATTTTAGAACCTTTTAACTTTATGTATTATAGAACATTGTGCAGCTTGACTTACTTAGGTAATCTGTTTTTACATCTTATAAATATATACATGTACAACTATATTTATATACAGGTTTGTGGCTAAGAAATACAGTTGGGTTAAATGTATATTTATAAAAGGAGCTGAACAGTATGTGTTATGAATACAGTCATCAGGCACAGTGTAGGAGACTGAAGAGGTCTGAGATATATATAGCATTGAGAGGATAATTTATAGATACTGTGGGTATGTGGGAGGCTTGGGCCTAGGCTGGCTCACATTTGTTTGAAAAGAATATCCAGTGAATATATTAAATATATTTGGTTTCTACTGACACATACTTACTTTTAAAATAGCAAGTATTGCTGGCCAGATCATGAAAGCAATTGTTATTTTTTTTTATTGGTTAGTTTTTGTTTGTCTGTTTCTTTTTTTCTTTTTGTTTACATTTATTTAAATAGATGCCCTTTTGTTAATATAATCATATATCTTAATATTTTTTTTTAATTCAGCATTGCCACTACATCAGACAGATATCTGCCTTTAATATAACCTCCAGCAATTTGGAACTCTTCAAAGATTGCAGTCTTTAGCCATTTTTAATGAATGGCTCTTAGAGAATCAGGAAACATGTATCATGTTATTCAGCAATGTAATGTATCAGTTAAGATAGAAATACACCCATATATATTGTGCTTGAATCACTATTCTTGTGCAGACGAGTATAAGGATGATCCATACACCAAATAAAATTATATATTAAACTATCTCACTAAATAGTGAATAAGCGATTGGTAACTCACTAAATAGTGAACTGACAATCAGTCGGCCAAATCTAGGCTAATATTAGCAATATGGGAAAATATGGCAACTGATCTGTTTTACAACTCTACTAACTTGGTATAAAATGTTTAGCTTGGTTATCAATTCAACAGCTTTACTTTAAAAAAGTGTCATTTTTTAATTAAAATCTGCACTTTTTGTAAAATGGAAAAAAAAAAGTCCACACACTCTTCGCAAAAACTGCTTTAGGGGTTTGGAGTGTCCCTTTAACTGAAATAAATTGTTCCTTAAAGCCACACTGTCATTTTTTTTTGTTTTTTTTAATGTATCTTAATGATTATATTCCTCATTTGCTGCTTATTGTTATTTTTTATTTATTAGCTTTTCTTCTTGTGCCAGATGTCAATATCTGGATGTCTCCATTTCATCCTCTATGTTCATAATATGTGCAGTTGGCCCTACTGTGGGATTCTTTTGAATGATGGATTTTGGTTAAATTACAAAAAATTGCTATATGTCACGCTTCCCTTTAGAAAAAAGCAGTTTTTCTTATGTATGTCTAAAAAACTAAGGTGAATTAAATAACAATAAAATCAAAGGGAAATAGACAAAAAAAGGATTATTTATTTATTACTGCTAATTATAAAGCGCCAACAGATTCCGCATATATATTTCAGTTTGCAAATTTCATTATAGTCTTCATGCATCATGATTGTTTTTTTTGTTGTTTTTTTTTTATATTGTAATATTCTTCAATTCTAAAGTTTTAAATCCAGGCACATTTTTTTCTTATTATGTAGTGCGCCGGAATATATTTATTTTATCCAAGTTTTTCTACCTTGATTTGCAATATTTTAAAATTTTCTTTTAAAAACCACTGACCCTGCTTGAGTATCACATAATAAATCTGTTGCTTTTTTTTCTTGTTAGCATTTTTAGATATTCCTCATTTTACAAATAGCGTTACCATAAATAACTGCATCCTAGAAGATCTGCTATCTATTTCTGACAACTGTTTGTACTTTCCACCCATTAATCTTTTTAGCACAACCTTTACACACCGAATGGTATTTGTGCTTGACACTTATTTTTCTACCATCTCTATTTAACAGAATTGCATAGTAATCAAATTCATCTAAAGAAGGTTTGGCCACATTCTGCAGTAATAGAGCCCCGCTGGCTGTTACCTCACGCGGCACAGTCTAAACTCAAGGTGAGTAGACAGACCCTAAACTGCACACAGGATGAGTCACTGGCATGGAGCAATAAAATAACATTACTTCTGAATCATGGGCCTGCTTGTATCAGTTAGTAGTACATTTGCCCAGATTGTATCAACTAGTATTACACTTGCCCAGATTATTCTTAATCTTTTTCTTCCCATTCTTGTAACTAGTGGAATAGGCTAAAACATACAAGAGCAGTGATCTCCCCTCTATTATTGGTGCTGAATTACCATGAAAAAGCCCCTCTCCTATAAATGCAAAGTTGAAACAAGCAGAAAAGCATACCTCCCAAGCGTCCATATTTAGGAAGGACAGTCCCTATTTCTGACCCAAATCCCTCTTTTCTGTCCCAATGTCCCTTTTTTCTTGGAGCTCCAT